GCGCTCATTGACATTGGCCTTTGCTGAATTTCACACTTTAACTATGTGTGTGTGTGTGTGTGTTAAAAGGAATGTGTATCGCAGTCATGTCACAAGGCACTCATAAGGATCATCTGTTGTTTCTTTTTTAGTAAAGTGTGAAACCAGCTCATGAAACTTTATTTGGTACGCTACGCTGCAGTTTCACGCTGCTGAAAGAGACTTATATTTGTGTTATTCATGAACAATATAGTCTCTTATACAAAGGCGTGTGTTTTAGCAAAGTCCCCTGAATATACTGATTAGGTATGCCGGTGGGCGCTTGAGTGTCAGTGTACGTAGGGGACCTGATGTTTCCAAGTAACATTGTAAATCTGCCCAGATGTGTGTAGAATGCTATCTCTAATGGTTGTAAATATTTCTGCAGGACATAAACATGTTGGGCCTCTTTTCTAACTAGATGGTTTCTTTGTATCTGTGCATATGTGTGTGTGTTCACCAGTATAAACAATGAGTGGACAACACACACACACACACACACACACACACACACACACACACACACACAACACACACAACACACACACACACACACACACACCACACACACACACACACACACACACACACACACACACACACACACACAGAGGGACTTTTGTGCCTGTGTGCAGCTATGGGATGTTGCAGTACAGTTAAAATAGAAAGAGCTTGCAGACAAGGCAAAAATAGGAATGTAAAATGAAAAGAGAGAATGCAAGTAAAAGTCAAGAGTGTGCATTCATGCGTTGGTGATTGTATGAGCGTTACAGGGCGAGTGGATTCTTCTCCCAAAAGAAAGTTTAGTGTGTGTAAAAACATCAGGAGGCTAATGGACTGAAAGGAGGGAGGGGAGGTAAAGTGAGAGTAAAAACTGGTGTTTCATGGTTCTGCAGGAGAATTTGTGTGTTATTGTAAGGACTCGTATACTTTGGTGTTCTTCGTTTACTATGAGAGCAGGGTTAAGGGGTCTCCCCATAACCACCAAGGGGGGCGAACAGAAGTGATAACAGGAGGGGTACTAGGGGGGAGAGAGACGTTTCTGAATGGGCCAAAGAGGGGAGAGAAAAGAAAGTGATGGCTTTCAAAGAAGTAACATACTTAAAGGTGGTGTGTGGTGAGGGAGAGGCTTTGAGAATGCGTCTGGGCCTGTGGTTAATATCAAAACATTCAAACCACAAAAACAATTCAACCATTAGAAAAAGTTTTTCAAATATTTGGTTACATGCCTCAAGTCAGTTTATTGAGTTTTAGTTTAATCAACTAAAAGGACTGTAAGTACGCCTAGATAACACTGGCACATTTCTAAGAATTTGAAATATCCTTTTGGATTCAGTATGACAATATTTTTGGCCATAAGCCTTTATTCCTGTGCGAGTGTCTGTCACAAGAGATATAGACAGGAAATGAGGAAAGGGAGATGTAACACAAAAATCCCTGACTGAAATCTGAATCAGAGTTAACCACTGAGTCACTAGGACAGCAAAGTTTTTAGTTTTTTAATCAATAAACCAACAATCTTGGTAATTGCTGAAATGCAGCACACAAAGCATAAAATATCAAAAACCTGTAAAGTGCCAGAAGCAGGACTCGCATGTCGGTAATGTTTCTTAACTTTTCTGTTTTAGCTCCAGACATAAATTAGATTGTTTTGCTCATTTGTAATCTGGCTGTTAGAGTTAAGAGTTCACTCTTGTTTCGGCATTGGTGAAGTATGACAAGAGCGAAAAGCACGAGTAGTCGGACAATCAGACGGGATGTAAATAAGACAAAAGCTTAGCCAGATTACACTAAACCATTTAAAGTGAGCACAAAAAAATGTTGGTTATAATCCCTCATTGTAAAGGAAAACTGGCTTAAACTAGTAAACTAAGACCCAGTGATTTCCTTAACTGAAATTACTCACTCACTCACAACTCTTTCTTTGGTAACACTGTATATTAAGGTACACAAATTAACCATCAACTAGTTGTTAATTAACATGGATATTAGCAGTATATTGGCTCTTTGTTAGTCATTATAAAACACTTATTAATACCTTATTCTGCATGACCATATTCTACAAGTAATAAACCATTAGTTGAGAGTTTTTCCTCAATAACCCTCTAATTAGTGCTTATTTATTGCAAGTAAGGAAGTTGTTACATGAGTTTTGGTCTTAATATGCTCTGCTCAATATGGGCCTAATAAGGCAGTAGTACCACAAGTAATTCTACCATAATAACACTTAACAAATATGATATTCTTATGTAACAAGACATGAAACTGTAAGTGTTAATGGTGTCTAAGTAATTCAAAATTAGGTATTTATATCTAAGAATATGTTTTGGGGTAGGCTATTGACAGTTCAGCTACCAATAGCAAGGTGATATTGACCTCTATGTTTCATATTTGCACATTTATATATTTGTAAAATGTGTACTGAAGGTTAGACAGGAAACCGGGAACAGGAAGTAGGAGAAAGTGAACTGAATAGCATGGC